GGGGGGGAGCGGTTCCTCTGCCCCCCCTAGGGTTACTTCCTCGTCCTCCCCGCGCCCCCCTGAGCGCGCCGCTGCCACTCCACTTCTCCCCTCTCCCTCCCAGGCTTGCCGCAAAACAGCTGATTCGCGCGGCAAGCCTGGGAGGGAGGGGGAAGAAGCGGAGCGGCGGTGGCTGGCTCAGGGAAGCAGGCGGAGCGGAGGTGCGCTGCTGCAGTGGGGAGCGTGGGGAGGGCCGCAGGAAGTAACGGGGGGGTAGAGGAACCGCTCCCCCCCCAGCTTACCTCCAACTCCTCCCCCGAGCGCACCCCCGCTCCGCTTCAGCCCTTGCCTGGGGGGGGGGGGGGGGAGGGAAATGCAGCGCGCCCTGGGGAGGAGGCAGGGCTGGGGATTTGGGGAAGGGGTTGGAATGGGGCGGGGAAGTGTTTTTTGCTTGGGGCAGCAAAAAACTTGGAGCCGGCCCTGGGCACTGTCAGAGCCCGGACCAACTGACTTGGACTGCAGGACTAAAAATTGCAGACGTCCCGGTCTGGGCAGGCTCTGAAATCTTGTGAGGGTCTCAGAGCCTGGGATCCAGCCAGAGTGTCTACACTGCTATTTTTAATCCCACAGCCCGAGTCACTAGATCTGTGCTCTGAGATTTGGCACCGCGATTTTTCGTTTGCAGGGTAGCACATCCCCCGAGTGGCCAGAGAGACAGAAATCCAGATAAGCTCATATGCCTCTTTGTTTAACACGTCCTTAAGTAGCTACAGAAAGTGCTTCACTGAATATTGCATCTCACAGATCTCCGGGGATTTGCACGCCGGCACGGGTCCATTCTGTGGATTGCTTTGGCTGGCAACGTGATCCTGGCTACAGCGGTAATTGCACTGGGCATTCAGGGTGAGTAGCTCAAGGCCTGCTCTTCACTGGAACAGGTCCCTCGTGAAAACAAATTTTGAAACGTTGGAAACGGAAATTCTGCTTTCCGACTCACTCTTCAGAGATGTAGCCTCAATTCTCCTGTCCCGGCTCTGTTCCCTTAATAATTTGCTCCACTTGTCAGTAGACGACTGGACGCTTCATCCCAGCTAGGGCAAAGTGTTACAAGAACATGGTCCAGTCTGAACTTGGTACCTGAAACTCAGGGCATCCTGTTGGGGGGAAACTTCATGTTGTCAAATAGTGTTGCCTTGCAGAGCTGTTGCCGTTAGGAGAAATCAATGCTCTAGTCAGCTCTAGTCTCAGTGTCATCTTATTTATTTACAAAAAACGGGCAGTAAATCACATTTCTCTGATCACAGGAGAAACAAACAGCCGTAGGAAGTCTCCTTGCTCAGAAATCCCCAAGCCTGCCTCTTCACTGGGCTCTGTGCCCAAGAAGTTCTGTCCCTGTGTTTCCTCAGGGGTCATTCTCACAACTGCTTCTCCTGGGTTCCCCTCTTTACCCCCCCCCCCAACACACACAGGCTGCAACCGATAACCTAGCCACTGTGTTTCCAACTAGGAAACCTCTCAGCCCACCTGGCTTAGCTCTGATCTGCCACATGGCCTGTTGCAGTGGGTGATAACCTCCCCTGCCTGCAGCTGTCTCTGCCACAGAAAGGGGCTTAATAGCTCTGAGACATTGCACCCCATAATGCTTTATAGAAATATGCTTATGAGAGTTAATATGACATAACTGGAATATGTTTTATGCTAAATATGCCATGGAACATATCTCTGCAAAGGTTATGATCTACTGAATCTATTCACCCTATTTGTATGCATGTGTCATTTTTATATCTGAAGTTATGAGCGTTGGCTCTATGCTTGTATTTAAAGTGTTTGCTGTAGGCAGCTCACAAGGCAGATTTGGGCAACATAGTGTGAAGGGGTCTCTGTGATCCAACCCGTCACAGTGGCGTAGTCAAGCAGGATCTGTGCACAGCTGACTGCTTTGAGATACTGGTAGTGATTTTAAGTGAGTCTTAAGTGTTCTGGCTGGAGAACAGACAAAGGGGTAACTGGTTTGTTATTTTCTGTTTGCTTATTTCGGGTAAGGGAAATAGGGACAGAAAAGGAACCAAAATAAGTAAGAGTGAAGATCAGAAGAAGCTAGAACTGCACAGGTTGCAAATTGTCCAGAAAGGCTGAACACTGGGCGCTGGGAAAGTCTCTGTTAACTGAGAAGTCCCTGAGCTGAGTGCATACCAGTTTCAGTGAACTGCAGAGCGGCGTGGCCCAACCTCTGTGTCTGTGCTGAAGCTGACTGGCATGTCTAACTTAGCAAGACAGGAGTGGAGGGATGCCTGTTCTAGCAGGAGGGGGTTCTCAGTGGTATCCCAGCTCATCGAGTGATGGTCTCAAGGGGAGACAAATGGAAATTGATGCGCAATTTGCCCTGGAAAAGACTGCCATGGAGGCAGAAGCAGCCAGACAAGGGGCTGCACACCAGCAAACCCTGGACAACAAAAATTGAGACCCAGAAGCACGAACTGGCTGTAATGGTGTGGAAGAGGTGCACAGAGACATGTATCCTGGAGGTGGAAGTTGGGGTCCTGGTGACCGCTGTGGTGGGAACAGACCCCAAGGACTCTGTAGCTGGAAGCAAGCCCAACCTGAGTGAAGGGAGGGGGGATTTTGCTGGCCAGTGAAGGGTCTGTCATAGCTGGTAGCTGTGAGCCCACAGTTGGATCAGGATCACCTTCCCTTTCAGGGGACACAGGAGTGTCTTCCCCAGAGGGGAGCCCAAAGAGGAATTTTAGGTATACTGCCTCCGCCATGGTCAGCGTCCAAGTCTCTGGCAGTAAGTTCAGGAGGAGGGTGTGACGTTGCACCCCATAATGCTTTATAGAAATATGCTTATGAGTGTAAATATGACATAACTGGAATATGTTTTATGCTAGATATGCCATGTAACATATCTCTGCAAAGGTTATGATCTACTGAATCTATTCATCCTATTCATATGCATGTATCATTTTTATATCTGAAATTATGAATGTTGGCTCTATGCTTGTATTTAAAGTGTTTGCTGTAGGAAGCACATAAGGCAGATTTGGTCAACATAGTGTGAAGGGGTTATTCAAGTAATTGGGAGTACTTAACTAACAGTGGACTTTGGGAGACGCCAATCCATACCTGAGCTTTCCTGGGAACGTTCAAACTAACATGTAAACAATGGCTTCGGCCTGCAAAAAGCTGAATCATCCATAGACATGTGACTTGTCCAGGTGGCTACAGACTCCATCTTGTTGCTGTGATCTTGCACAGAAGAACAAAGGGTTTCCACCCACAAGAGAGAGAATATCAAAGGCCCTGGAAACCCCTCCATTTGGTCTTCAGCTAGTTCAAAAGATAGCCTCTCCACCCCAAAGAGATGCCTGAAAGAAACTGGAACAAAGGACAGTAACTATGGGGGTGTGACTGATTGCTGGACCCAGACTAGAAAGGAGTCTAGTGTGTGAAGAAGCTTATTGGAACATCTCTGAGGGTGAGATTTACCTGCATTTAGTTTCCTACTGTATTAGGCTTAGACTTGCGTGGTTTTGTTTTATTTTGCTTGGTAATTCACTTTGTTCTGTCTGTTATTACTTGAAACCACTTAAATCCTACTTTTTATATTTAATAAAATCACTTTTTACTTATTAATTAACCCAGAGCAAGTAATTAATACCTGGGGAAGCAAACAGCTGTGCATATCTCTCTATCAGTGTTATAGAGGGTGGACAATTTATGAGTTTACCCTGTATAAGCTTTATACAGAGTAAAACCGATTTATTTGGGGGTTTGGATCCCATTGGGAACTGGGTGTCTGGGTGCTAGAGACAGGAGCACTTCTTAAGCCATTTTCAGTTAAGTCTGCAGCTTGTGGAGGATGTGGTTCAGACCTGGGTCTGTGTTTGTAGCAGGCTAGCGTGTCTGGCTCAATCAGGCAGGGTACTGAAGTCCCAAGCTGCCAGGGAAAATGGGCTCAGAAGTAGTCTCAGCACATCAGGTGGCAGTTCCCAAGGGGGTCTCTGTGATCCAACCTGTCACAAGCTCCTTTTGTTGAGAGTAAAGGAGGGTGCTTGGCTCCCACTGGCTTTCATTAGGCCAGTGATTGTCCTGGGGCCAAACATCCCCTTGATGGAAACTTTCAACATCACAATATGAAGGAAAACATGGAATGGATCAGAATATTCATAATGAATGGGGCCCTCCCTCCCTCTCTCCCTTCCTTCCTTCCCTGCCTCATTCCATCATCTCTGTCCCTACCAAGGTCAACAGACGCTCCTTGGTGATTTTTCACATCATCACATTCTCACTGTTCCGATCCCTAAATACTAATGATAATTCCAATTCCTTACCCTTTTGCCTCGCAGTAGCAGATTTCAGGGCCTGACAGGTCAGTTTTCTCTCTGGAGGAGAAATTGGTAATGCAGATCCAAGTATTTCCTAGTGCAATTTGTTTATTTACAAGATAGATAGATAGATAGATATCTTGTTTCCTGGTCACAAACTGCACCCAGGCGATCCCCCCTTGCAAAAGCCCCAGAGCCGGTCAGCAAGAAGCAGCTCTCTGGAGCCTCTGTGTCCCTTGGACTCTCACCTTGTTCCTGCCTCAGCCCTGGGGAAACCCCCATAGTTCAAGCTGCTCACCCAGGACGGCATGCTCTGGACATTAGCCCTCCCTAGGGTCAGCTGCTGTGCAGAACAAGGGACCCTGGGAAAGTGTCACTGCCCAGACACAGGCAAGAGCTCTGCCCCTTCAGGACTGTCTGGCTGCAGTGAGTTTCACCCTGGGAGCTCATACACCAGTGACCTGTAAAGTACAGGACAGGAGCCCCTGCTGCCATAACAGCAACAGTAACAACCACTCACCTGGCTGCTGCTTGGAAGTTTTCCAGGGCTGCTCGCCGCAGACGGACACTGGCGCAGTCTCATCGGTCCCTGAGAACGGCAGTGTCGCCCAGAGACACTCCCCCGGCAGAGAATGCAACAGGAGCCTGGAGGACTTGGTGTCTCGCCTGAAGCAGAGTCTGTGTCACTCAGCCCAGAGCCCCTCAGCAGGTAACTGCAACTCGCTGTGTTTCTGAGCTCCTTGGCATGTTCTGTACACCATGCAGGTGGAGGAGGGCCTGTCTGAAGGAGGCCGGCCATGGGCAGGCCAGCCTGTTAGCCTGTGTCCTCCTCTCATCCTAGGTCCCAGGTGGCCCCGGAGCTTCTCTCTCAGTGAGGCCAGAGGAGGGGCACTGAGGATGGGGGAGGCAAGAAGGGGATCTGCTCCCATATTTCCTCAAAGGATAACAAATACATAAGGGCTGTTATAGAGACGACGGGGATCAATTGTTCTCTGTGGCCACTGAAGGCAGGACGAGAAATAATGAGCTTTGTCTGCAGCAAGAGAGATTCAGGTTAAATATTAGGAAGAATTTTCTAACTCTCAGTGTAGTTAAGCACTGGAACAAGCTTCTAAGGGAGATTGTGGAATCCCCATCGTTGGAGGTTTTAAAGAACAGGTTGGAATATTAGGGATGGTCTAGGTCTACTTGGTCCTGCCTCAGTGCAGGGGGCTGGACTTGATGACTTCTCAAGGTCCCATCCAGCTTGACAGTTCTATGAGTCTGTGAGAAGTGGTGCTGCTGAGAGACAGTCTCCTTCCTCCAACCTCAGGCAAGGAGAAGATGAGCCTGGGGCATCTTTCCCCTGCCCCAGCAACAAGAGGGAGGCCGGAGGTGGATCAGGGAGGTGGAGCAGAAAGGTGGATATCAGCATCTGGCACCAGATCCCAGCAGAGGCCAGAGCTTAGGTAGGAGACACGGCCATTTCCGACTTCCCCCATCTGAGCAGTTTCAGAGGAAGAACATTTCTTTCCAAGCCTCCCCAATGCCAGCAGTGGCTGGAGGTAGGGCAGACATTGGGTGCCTGAATTCCTAGTCCGGAGCATCAGAGGAAGGGGGGGAAGTGCTGGCTATGGACATACAAGCAAATACTTTTGTGGTCCAATTTGGACAATATTTGCCGGCCAAGTAGCACCAATGGCAGACACCTCTCAGTGGGGATTATGGGGCACAGTGACCTCCAGTGGCCAGTCAGGGTAATTCTCAGAGTGAGCTGGATTGCTGAGCAAATAAATGATTTTTTGTTTCAGGGGTTGAGCCAAAAAAACAGGCTGGGGATGGAGGGGGGGCATAGAAGGGAGAAAAATAAACAACAGTTCAGTTCAAACCAAAACTGTTTTTTTTTTTTAATTTTCAATGTATTGGGGAAAAAATGAAAAAGCTTCATTTTGGCTTGACGAAAATATTTTTGTCAACCTAAAACTATTTTTTTTTCATTTTTTAGGGGGGGGGGGGGTTCCGCCATTTTAAAATCTATTTGTTTTTATAATGTCCACGTTGGAAGCCGAAATACTGTTTCAAAACAAGAGGTCGAAGTGACACATTTTGAAATGGCTGACATGAACCGTTTTGACTTTTTCCAGAAAAAAATAAATGTTGAGGCCAAAACAATTTGTGGAATCCAACCCAAGATTGTGAATGGTTTGAGTGCAGAAGATGCATTATTTGGCAAATTTACTATTTGCTGAAATTTTTGATTTATCATTTTTTTGCCCAGCTCTAGTGAGCAGGACAGGTTGGTCTAAGATACTAGTACAATGAACTCCCCAAAGACCGTATTTAGTGATAGTTCAGATTTCAACAGGGTACCCCGGAGCCATTCCCCCAAAGGCACAGTCATGTTGCCCACAGCACTGTCAGTGTAACACACTCCAATGATCTGTAAGGCCTTCACTCCCACCTCCAACGGATACCAGAAAGCACTAGGCATCCAACTTCACCCACCTCTCACACAGAAACTGGAGCAGTGACCTCAGACGCTCTCTTGTAACACCAGCAGCACAGATGCCTGTTACACAGCCCGTGCGTTTGGGAAGTGACTCCACTTTGTCAGGGCCGAGGGCGACATTCAGGTTTTGCGCCAGCCTGCAAGAGAGGTGGAGAGCAGGTGGCAGCGCAGAGGTAGCCGTGGTAGCTAGTGATGGCTAATGAGGCTGAGCATGTAGAGCTAGTTATGGCTGATGCCTGCGGCTGAGAATGCCCAGGTGGTTTGGGGGGACGGCGATAGCGACAGTGGGTGATGCTGAGTGAGGACCCTGGGGCTAGAGCCACAAAGGCACGTAGATGATTAACTGCCACTTTCGGGGCCTAAGTCCAACATTTAGATACTGCTGGGATCTTCAACACCCACTCCCAGCTGCCACTTAAACCTGTAGGTGCCTAACGTAAAGGACAGCTGGGGCTGCACTAAGCAGGATTTTGGCTGGTAGCACGTCCCTGTTATACCCAATAGTTAGATTCCTCTGCCGGGACGTGGGAAACCAGGTTTGAATTCTGCCTGATCTGGAACTGGGGCTCCTTGAGTCCAGCTCTCCCAGGTGAGGGCCCCGAATCCTGGGCTGTTGAGTCTTATAGGGGAAAATCTCTCCTGTTGAAACCGTTCCATTTTGTGTGTGCTAATTAAATAATGAAACAGTTTGACACTGAGACCAAGGTGTCTCCTCTTTGCCTTGCAGTGAAAGAAGTGTGACACAAAGTGTCAAACTGTTTCATTACAACACAGACAGGAGACGCGTTGATCTAGAAAAGAAAAGTCGACCAAATGTTTCAAGCATAGATTCGTGATTCCAAGGCCTGAAGGGACCATTGTCATCATCTAGTCTGACCTCCTCTAGGACACGGGCCAGAGACCCTGCCCCAAAATACTTCCTAGAGCAGAGCTTTCAGAAAAACATCCGATCTTGATTTAAACATTGCCAGTGATGGAGCAAAATTACGACCCTTGGTAAATTGTTCCAATGGTTAATTACCCTCACTGGTAAAAATGTACACCTTATTTCTAATCTGAATTTGTCTAGCTTCAACTTCCAGCCATTGGATCATGTTATACTTTTCTGCTAGACCAAGAACCCATTATTAATAATTTGTTTTCACATAGATACCTATAAACTGTAATCAAGTTATCCCTTAATCTTCTCTTTGTTAAGCTAATAGCCCTAGTGCTTTGAGTCTCTCACTGTTAAACAGGTTTTCTAAGCCTTAGATCTTCTCTGAACCCTCTGCAGTTTATCAACAGTGTTTTTGATCAGCACAAAGTAGAAGCTGCTCTTAATGATTTTTAAAAATTAAATTAAAATAACAGAATCTTTCAATGTGTTATGATACATCATGAAATAAGGGGGAAATAATGCAAATCATATAAAAATAAGAATCCATAAAATAAAATTCAAAGTGAAATTCTGAAATGTTCCAAACAGAACATTTTCCACAATAAAAAAAACCTTGTCCTTCTGAAACATTTTTTTCTGTGAGAATATTTGTCACAGTTGATACAGTTTCTTGAAAACCGTTTGTTGAACCAGCTTTTCTACTGAAAAACGGTTTTGAGGAAAATGTTCTGACCAGCTTTCATTGTTAAACAGTGAGTCTAAAGGCTCTGGATGGGATTATTGCAAGTGCCTGACTCAGGGGGACTTGTACCCTCTCTGAGCTGTTACAGGCACGTTCATTAGGGCTCAGAATCATTAATGCTGTGTCTCTCCACATCTCTCTCCAGATGGCTCTGGCTGCAAACTCTGCCCCATGGACTGGCTGTCGCACAGGGAAAAGTGCTATTGGTTTTCTAAAGAAAGCACCATCTGGAACAAGAGCCGTGATGACTGCTCAGCGAAGAGCTCTCGAATGCTAGTGATCCAAGACCAGGAGGAGATGGTAAAGTAAAACAGAGGGGGCTAAACTTCCCCTGGAGGGGAACCCCAGTTACATGGTACCTGATGTGCAAGAGGAGAAGGAGACTTCTTCCTGAGGATGCTAATGCAGCATCCTCAGGATGTGGGGAGGGATAGCTCAGTGGTTTGAGCATTGGCCTGCTAAACCCAGAGTTGTGAATTCAATCCTTGAGGGGGCCACTTAGGGATCTGGGGCAAAATCAGTACTTGGTCCTGCTAGTGAAGGCAGGGGGCTGGACTCGATGACCTTTCAAGGTCCCTTCCAGTTCTAGGAGATAGGATATGTCCATTATATATAAGGGCAGGAGCAGCTCTCACACACGTTGCTCCCCATTAACACAGGGATGGGAGAGCCAGGAGAGCTGCATAGCAGCAGAGCCTGGAAACTGTTCCCCCAACCTCCCCACTGCCTCCGCTTATTCCTCCTCCTGCCTCGTGCGGATGGAGGCTTCTTCCCCATCAGGAGCCACACACGGGGAACAGCAAGACGGGAGGCACAGAGGCATATTAACCGCTCCGGGTGGGATTTTCAAAAGCATGAAAGATAGGAGCAAAACACAATGGGGTGACAATAGGGTTACCATACGTCCGGATTTCCCTGGACATGTCCGGCTTCTTGGTACTCAAATCCCCGTCCGGGGGGAATTGCCAAAAAGCCGGACATGTCCGGGGAAATATGGAGGCAGCATAAGCCAGGGTCCGCCCAGCCCCAGCACGACCCGCCGGGTCCACAGTGCAGCCCAGCCGCCCGGCTACATTGTAGCGAGCTCGGGCGGGGGAAGGGGGGGTGCAGCCGCAGAAGGCGGCGAAGGGGCCGCTGCTGCCCCCGGAGGCCGGGCGGACCACGCGCCCCAGCCGAGCCCGCAGGACCACGGGGAGGCCGGGCCCAGCCAACGGCTCGGGCTTCCCTCGCGGGCGGGGACTCCCCGGCCACTGGGGGACCCTTCCTGTGGCCCCATCACCCTGCGCAGCAGGAAGGAGGCTGCGGCGCAGGGCAGGGAGTGCGGCGTGTGCCGGGGCTGCAGGGACCCGAGCTGCCCCGGTCGCCGCTGAGCATCCGAAGCCCCCGCCAGGCAGAGGCTGCCGGGGAAGCGGGGGAGCTGGGCAGGCCGGGGGGTGCAGAGGCTGCAGGGCGAGGAGGAGCAGGGCAGGCAGGGGCATAGAGGCTGCAGGGGCAGGGGGGCGCAGGGGGCACAGAGGCTGCAGGGGCGGGGGGGGTGCAGGGGCTGCAGGGCGAGTGGGGAGCAGGGAAGCACTTAGCAACCCCCAACCAAGATCAGAGCGGGAGGGAGGAGGGGGAATGTGGGGTGCTCAGAGGAGGGGGCAGAGTTGGGGCAGGGACTTTGGGGAAAGGGTTGGAATGGGGGTGGGGAAGGGGTGGAGTTGGGCGGGGCCGGGGGTGGGGCCGGAGGCAGGGAAGGGGCGGAGTTGGGGCGGGGCTGGGGGCAGGACCGGGGCCCCGTGGAGTGTCCTCTTTTTTAAATGTTTGAATATGGTAACCCTAGGTGACAAGCGACTGTCACTGTGACTTGTGCTCCTAATTCCCCTAGGCACTTGAAACTCCCACCCTGTGTCATCTAGCCCTGAGCCCTGTTTACACTAGTGTTCCCACTGGTGTTGCTACACCGATGGTAGAAATGCTGGGACATTGTAACAATAGCAACAACAAAATCTAGTGTAGCCAAGGCCTAAATGCTCGAGCACCCTTTTGGAGAACAGTCTGTCAAGTTTTCTAGCTGAAGCAAAGAATCTTAGAACGCTATCAGGTTGTACTCACCCTCTGTCTTCACCCCGCAGGAGTTCATACAGAACGTCACACAGGGTAAATATCATGTCTGGCTCGGGCTCAGTGTTACGTCACCAGGGAAGAACTGGACCTGGGTGGACAGCTCCAAGTTAGACCAAACTCTGTGAGTGTTGCCGGGTGGTTGCTATTTTATTTCATTAAAAAATGCGTATGTAATGACACCCCCTGGTTGAGCTATTAATAGGACTTAAACACATGGAGCCCTGTGTCTAAACAAACCAAGCTGCAAGTTTGCTTGAGCTCCAGGGCCAACTCTGTGAGTGTAGAGACTCTAGCAACTACAACTGGGTAAATTTTTGTCGGTGACTAGTAAATTCATTGAAAAAAATAAAACCTTTTTTTTCAGGGCAATGAAACTATTTGTGAAGTCAACCCAAATTAACAAATAGTTTTGGCTGTCAATTTTTCTCCCCAAAAAATGTACAGTGGTTTGCTTGACTGTTTGAAATGCAATGTTGCCACTTTGCATTTTGAAATGATGCTTTGTTTCAAAATGTAGCAATGTGTATTTAAAAAAGATTAAAACTTCCCAAAACAAAAAATAATATATATATTTTTTTCATTTAATTTAATATAGGGATGTTTTTCAACTCATAGTGATTTTTTTTCCCTGTTCAGTTTTTCATTCCAGCAAGAAAAATGTGTGAGGAAAAATCAGTTTTGGTTTGAACCAAACCAGTTTTTTTTTTTTTCCGGTTCAGCTCCTGAACCGGAAAAAAATCAATTATTTGCTTAATTCTAGTAGCAGCCTCGTAGGCCTCTATCCATGGTGTAGCCACTAGATGGGGACAAAGAGCTACGCTGTGCTAGCATGTGTTACACAGAGCTCATGAAAGAATTCAGTCAAACTGCCCATTGGATTAGAAGAACTAGTTACTCTAGGTTGCTTTAATTTAATCTAAACCCATAAGGACAAATTTGTCCCTGATGTAATCAACTCCATTGGTTTTGGCAGAGTTACAGAGAGTCTGAATTTGGCTCATTCACTTCCTTTTCCCTCTGTTTTACAGGTTCCCAGAATCAAGCCCTACTGATCTAAACAGCTGTGGAATGATAAAAGGGAATCAGATTAAATCTGAAATTTGCAGCGCTGAATTAAAGTGGATTTGTCAGAAGGAAGCTGTGCCGCTATGAACAGTGACAGACCAGTACACTGCCTTGTGTTTCAGCCTCTGGGCCACACTTCCAGGAGCAGATGTGCCGGCGGAGACATGTATGTCCCGTGCATCCTCAAACCAGCTATTTGTATGGGCAACTTGGGTAAATGCATTTGCAAATCAGACCCTAGGGCAAAGGCGCATCTCATGGATGTAAACACTGCACGACTGACTCGGGTCCAGTAAGAACACACCTGTACCTCCCCCTGTATCCCCTTGCACCATCACTGATACCCTGGCTCCACCCCTTCCTCCTTCACCCCCTTCTCTTCACCTCCGGTGCCTCTTCAGCCTTCTGCCTCTCAGGCCCAATACTTCAGTTCCCTTGTGCTTCCCCCAGGTGTCCACCTAGCTCAGTGGGAGGGGCATTTCCACATCCTTGTTCGCCTTGATCTGATCTCTCTGCCAACTCCACCTCAATCTGTTGCTTTCCTCTCCTCTCCGGGGTCTTCTCCTGCTTTTCTGCCTAGCCCTCCTTCAGCGTCTCCTTGACAACCTTGGAACTTTTTTAACCCAATGTTTTTCAAATCAGGTGTTTCATGAAAGTGGACAATGGTTCTTGAACCATTTTGGTTTTGATGAATTGGCATTTTCTGACATTCCCTACCCCCGAAAAAAAACCCAGAAAATTCCTAACCATGACTGAGTTTCTTATATTTTTGTGAATTTTGCATCATTTGTAATTTCGCATCATTTCTCATTTTTAATAAATTGTTATCAGCATTTTGTATCATTTATAATCTTTCCTTTTTCAGAATAAGTATATTTTAATGGTTTTTGGCAGCTTAGTCACATGATGGATGATTGAATTATTTAATATTTTTTAAAATTATTTTACAAAGGAAAGCAATAAACAACAAAGGTCCAAGGGAAAATTTGCTAAAAATTGTGGTAAAATTTTAAAAAGAAATGATTTTTAAATGAAGAATACTGATGTTGAGAAAAGGTCATTTTTGACCCCCCAAAATCCCCCAAACAAACCAACTTATGTTTCAAAAATATTGACCCAATAAAACTTTTTTAAAAATTACAAAAATTGACAAGACTGATCTAAGACAAAGCAAGAAAAAATAACAGTTAAAACTGCCACGCCCTTTACACCACAAAACAGCAAAGTGGCAAACAGACTTATTTTACTGCATTGTATACACTGCAGTAGCTTGCATAGCCACCAGATGTCACTGCTCTCACAAACACAACAGAACGCGCCTTTCTCTCATAAATGGGAAAATGTAATGCCATAAAGTAGCATTAGATGGGAAAATAAATTCAAGTTGCAACACAGTTCCGTGTTGTCTACAGCTCAAAGCATGCTAACCTTTTGGGAATTAGCTCCATGGGCGGTGGGACTGCCTGATGAGGCCCCACCCACTCTCTACCCCCCCCCCCCACCTGCTCCTGGAGGCTGGGGCAGGCAGGCTGGGGGCTGTGGTGCACCCCTGGGGCTGTTCCGGCCGCCCAGCACTGGGGCTGGACTCAGGCTGGGCTGGAGGCTCAGCTGGGGGGGAGCTTCAGCGGGGGGCTGTGGCCACGCCGCATGCCCAGCTCTTGGGCACTCCAGGACCGGGGATGGCTGGGGCTACGCCACACGCCCGGCTCTCCAGGGCCAGGGGGCTCAGGCCATGCTGCCTGGCATCCCTGGGCTCCGGGGCCGGGAAGCAGGGGCCAGTGGCCATAAGGGGGGGGGGGGGGGGGGGGCGCAAGAGCCAGCATGACAAGGGGGGGGACTGGGGCCAGTGGGCATGGAAGGGGCAGAAGGGGCAGGGGACTGGGGGGTTAGCCGTAGCCTGCCTCCCCAAGCCAGGGGTTCAGCCATGACCCATAGACAGCTCATATGTGGGTGCTATCTGCAGGAGGATGGGACTGTGGTTGTGTCTTTGGGTGTCTGCATAACCCAGCACAACAGGGCCCTGATCTCAGCTGGGGCAGGGACTGTCTCTCGCTGTGTGTCTGTGCAGCACCCGGCACGACAGGCCCCTGATCTCAGCTGGGGCAGGGACTGTCTCTCCCTCTGTGTCTGTGCAGTGCCCGGCACAACGGGGCCATGATCTCAGCTGGGGCAGGGACAGCTGTAGAGGCATTAAATGTGGCTTCAGTGTGACAGTGCAACCTGCTTGTAGGGAGCTGGTGTGGCCCCCCTCCGAACCAGAAGGTAAGGAGCCACTCTCTCTGCCTGGGTGGGCGGAGCCAGGCCATGCTTACTCTACCCCCCCATAAGTGGAGGGGTGGAGCAGGAAGTACAAAAGGCGGGGCCCTTAGCTCAGTTGGGGCGGCACCAGGGGGGGAGTCAGATACAGGCTGCTCCCTGCGGACTCTGCTGCCGAGCCAGGGGAGACCTGACGCTGACGAAGAACTCGGGTTACCAGGGCTGCTGGCTGCCGAATACCCGGACGAGTTGGAGGAGCCGGGCGGCGACCCAAGCCCAGGACAGCCCAACGCTGAGGGCAAGCTGGAGCTACCAGGGCTACCGGTGGCCAAATACCGAGACGAGCTGGAGGAACCAGAGGGACCCACTCGAGAGACCATGTAGGAAGCAGCCCAGGGGTGGAATTGGACAGTGTGGTGAATTGATGGTTGGTCAGTGTGTTGCGGATGGATCCCCTTGGGAGGGGTGTTTAAAATGGTCTCTGTATGGCTCACGGAGCCATTTATGGGACATATCCCTGTTGACCCTTGGGCCGGAATGCAGCAGAGTTGGGTGGGTCTGCGTTCCCCTATCCCTGCCACTGCCGCCTCGGGGTGGCAGGCTCCCGATAAAGTGCCACAGACTCTTGCCAGTGCTACCCTGTTGTGCTCACCATGGCAGCACACCTCCCTCTGCTAATTCTCCCTCTATCAGAGAGGTGTGACCCTGGCCTCGTGGCTTGGCGGACCAACCGACCCACTACACTGCTTTATTCACAAATCCTGTTGTTCAAAATGGACTAGGGAGTTAATTTTATTTCGTTTTGAGGCAGTAACTAAAAGCAATATCCACATGAGTATACAGTGAGGCAAAGACACATGTAGGTCTACAGATAAAGGACATGAACAGTAAATAACATTTGCATAGTAGTAACTCTGTTATCCACGTCTTACACTTCAGAATCAAACGAACACATTGTGCAATGAAAACAATGTGTAAACAAGTAACAGACTAAGTCAGACTAGAAATAACCTGTAAATGTTTAACAGTAAGAATAATGAACCGTTGGAACAATTTACCAAGGGTTGTGATGGATTCTCCATTGCAGACTGTGACGGGTTGGGTCACAGAAACCCCCTTGGGACTGCCACCTGATGAGCTGAGACTACCTCTAAGCCCGTTTTCCCTGCCAGCTTGGGACTTCAGAACCCTGTCTTGTTGAGCCAGACACGCTTGCCTGCTGCAAACACAGACCCAGGTCTGAACCACGTCCCCCAACAGCTGCAGGCTTAACTGAAAACAGCTTAAGAAGTGCTCCTGTCTCCAGCAACCAGTTACCCAGTTCCCAATGGGACCAAACCCCAAATAAATCCGTTTTACTCTGTATAAAGCTTGTACAGGGTAAACTCATAAATTGTCCGCCCTCTATAACACTGATAGATATGCACAGCTGTTTGCTCCCCCAGGTATTAATACTGTTCTGGGTTAATTAATAAGCAAAAAGCGATTTTATTAAGTATAAAAAGTAGGATTTAAGTGGTTCCAAGTAATAAAAGACAGAGCAAAGTAAATTACCAAGCAAAATAAAACAAAAACACACAAGTCTAGGCCTAATACAGTAGGAAACTAAATGCAGGTAAATCTCACCCTCAGAGATGTTCCAATAAGCTTCTTTCACACACTAGACTCCTTCATAGTCTGGGTCCAGCAATCACTCACACCCCTGTAGTTACAGTCCTTTGTTTCAGTTTCTTTCAGGCATCTCTTTGGGGTAGAGAGGCTATCTTCTGAGCCAGCTGAAGACCAAATGGAGGGGTTTCCAGGGCCTTTTATATTCCTTCTCTTGTGGGTAGAAACGCCTTTTGTTCTCCTGTGCAGAATCACAGCTACAAGATGAAGTTTTGGAGTCACATGGGCAAGTCACATGTCCATGCATGACTCAGTTCTTTACAGGCTGACGCCATTGTTTACACGTTCATTTGAACGTTCCCAGGAAAGCTCAGCTGTGGATTGGTGTCTCCCAACGTTCATTGTCAGTTAAGTGTTTCTTGATTGGGCACTTACTGAGAATAGTCCTTTCTCAAGAAGCTGACCAAATGCTTCACTGAGGCTACCTAGAATCAAAACACATTGAGATACAAGTACATAGCCAATATTCATAACTTCAATTACAAAATGATACACACCTACAGCTAGCATAATCATAACCAGCAAATCATAACCTTTCCATAGACACCTCACATGACAACCTTTGTATAATATTTGCTGCAAATATATAACAGTGGTTGCAACAATGATCTATACGGTCACAGTTTATGTCAATAACGTCACACTGACAGTTTTTAAAATCAACATTGGATGTTTTTCTAGAGGATCGGCTCTTGTTCAAACAGGGATTAATTCAGGGCAGTCCTATGGCCTGTGTTATAAAGGTCATTTTAGATTAGCACAGTGATCCCTTCTGGTCTTGGAATCCACAAGTCTATGACATAAGAACATAAGAACAGCCATACTGGGTCAGACCAAAGATCCTTCCAGCCCAGTATTCAGTCTACTGACAGTGGCCAGTGCCAGGTGCCCAGAGGGAGTGAACCTAACAGGCAATGATCAAGTGATCTGTCTTCTGCCATCCCTCTCCACCCTCTGACAAACAGAGGCTAGGGACACCATTCCTTACCCATCCTGGCTAATAGCCATGAATGGACTTAACCTCCATGAATTTATCCAGTTCTCTTTTAAACCCTGGTATAGTCCTAGCCTTCACAACCTCCTCAGGCAAGGAGTTCCACAGGTTGACTGTGCACTGTGTGAAGAAGAACTTCCTTTTATTTGTTTTAAACCTGCTGCCCATTAACTTCATTTGGTGGCCCCTAGGTCTTATATTATGGGAACAAGTAAATAACTTTTCCTTATTCACTTTCTCCACACCACTCATGATTTTATATACCTCTATCATATTCCCCCAGGCCCTGGTCTACACTACGGGGTTAGGTTGAATTTAGCCGCATTAGGTCGATTTTAAAATGAATGCGTCTACACAACCAACCCCGTTCCATCGACCTAAAGGGCTCTTAAAATCGACTTCTGTACTTCTCCCTGGCGAGGGGAGTAGCGCTAAAATCGACCTTGCTGGGTTGAATTTGGGGTAGTGTGGATGCAAATCGACGTAATTGGCCTACCTGTGAGTACCCGCCACCCTGCCCGCAGCCAGCCCCGTCTCCAGCCAGCCCCGCACCCCCTGCCCTGCCCGCAGCCAGCCCCTGCCGCACCCCCTGCCCTGCCTGCAGCCAGCCCCGCACCCCCTGCCCGCAGCCAGCCCCTGCCGCACCCCCTGCCCTGCCTGCAGCCAGCCCCGCACCCCCTGTCCTGTCTCCAGCCAGCCCCTGCCGCACCCCCCTGCCCTGCCTGCACCCAGCCCCTACCTCCAGTCAGTCGCTGCCCTGCCTCCAGCCAACCCCGCACCCCCTTGCCTCCAGCCAACCCCGCACCCTCCTGTCTCCAGCCATCTCCACACCCCCTGCCCTGCCTGCAGCCAGCCCCACACCCCCTGCCTCCAGCTAGCCCTGCCCCACGCCCCTGTCTGCAGCCGGCCCCACGTCCACTGGTGCCCTGCAGTTCCCAGGGCAGTAACCCTGCACACCTGCTTCAATGAGGGGGGCAGGGAGCAGCTGGGACCCACACATGTGCACACCCTAGGGTGACCAGAGAGCAAGTGTGAAAAATCGGGACAGGGTGGGGGGATAATAGGAGCCTATATAAGAAAAAGACCCAAAAATCGGGACTGTCTCTATAAAATCGGGACATCTGGTCACCTTAGCACTCCCCCAGGGAGTGGCAGGGACCCACACATGTGAAACGAAGGTCATTTCTAGTTCAGGCCCAGCTTTTTAAAAAAAGAACTTTTAGGTAGGGTTAACATACATCTGTATTATCCCGGACATGTCAGGCTTTTTGGTTCTTAAATCGCCGTCCGGGAGGAATTTTTAAAATTTAAAAATAAGGGAAAATACGGACGTATGGTAACCCTATTAAAGGTACAAAAAATACATACTGTGGCACATCCCTTAAATCAGAACTTTTTATAGGGAACCGGTTGTTAAGATTTTGGCAGCTCATCACTGCCCCCAGGTGCAAATGTTTCTATGCTCCCCCATTATCTCCGTCCCTGAGGTTATCGCAGATTAAAAGGCGAAAAAAACGCATTCGCGATGACATGATTTCTGAGCTCATGCAGTCCTCCCGCACTGATAGGGCACAGCTTAATGCATGGAGGCATTCAGTGGCAGAGGCCAGGAAAGCATTAAGTGAGCGTGAAGAGCAGAGGCAGGAGGCGATGCTGAGGCTAATGGGGGAGCAAACGGACATGATGAAGCGTCTGTTGGAGCTGCAGGAAAGCCAACAACAGCACAGACCCCCGCTGCATCCATTGTATAACTGCCTGCCCTCCTCCCCAAGTTCCATATCCTCCTCACCCAGACGCCCAAGAACGCGGGGGGAAGGCTCTGGGCACCCAGCCACTGCACTCCAGAGGATGGCCCAAGCAACAGAAGGCTGTCATTCAAACAGTTTTGATTTGTAGTGTGGCTACAATAAGCAATGTGGCCTTGTCCTTCCCTCCTCCCCCACCCCACCCCACCCGGGATACCTTGTCAGTTATCTAATTTTTTTTTAATTAATAAAGAAAGAATGCAGGGTTTCAAAACAATAGTTACTTTATTTCAAAGGGGGGAGGGTGGTTGGCTTACAGGGAATTAAAATCAACAAAGGGGGCAGGTTTGCATCAAGGAGAAACACACACAACTGTCATGGTTTTCAAAGCCTCTCTGATGTGCAGCGCGCCTTGCTGTGCTCTTCTAATCGCCCTGGTGTCTGGCTGCTCAAAATCGTCTGCCAGGTGATTTGCCTCAACCTCCCACCCCGCCATAAATGTCTCCCCCTTACTCTCACAGATATTATGGAGCACACAGCAAGCAGTAATAACAATGGGAATGTTGGTTTCGCTGAGGTCTAACCTAGTCAGCAAACAGTGCCAATGAGCTTTTAAAAGTCCAAAGGCACATTCTACCACCATTCTGCACTTGAGGACGAACTCCGCACTTGGGATGGCGTCTGCACGGGTAACCCAGGAAAAAAGGTGCGAAACGATTGTCTGCCATTGCTTTCACGGAGGGAGGGAGAGGGGGGCCTGATGACATGTACCCAAAACCACCCAATGTTTTTGCCCCATCAGGCATTGGGAGCTTAACCCAGAATTCCAATGGGCAGCGGAGACTGCGGGAACTGTGGGATAGCTACCCACAGTGCACCGCTCTGTAAGTCAATGCTAGCCACGGTAGTGAGGATGCACTCTGCCGACTTAATGTGCTTAGTGTGGACATACGCAATCGACTGTATAAAATTGGTTTCTAAAAATCGACTTCTATAAAATCGACCTAATTTTGTAGTGTAGACATACCCTTAGATGGTGGTTCATGCCCTGAAGTAAGAAGGTTTGGATCCCTTCCCAAACTCCTGTCCATTTCCTCTCTTGTATGAACAACAGTATCTAATGTCCCAGTCCTTTTTAAAAAAAATCCTGCCAAGCTCTTGGCTTCAATGACATCTTGTAGCAGTGAGTTCCGCAGGCTAATTGTGCATTATGTGAAAGCACAGGTCCTCTGATCAGTTTCAAATTTGCTGACTTTCAGTTTTGTCAAGTGCCCGTGGTGTTCTTGTATCGAGAGACAGGTTGAATAGCAGCACCCCAATCTATCTTCCCTGTCCCAGTCTTTGTTTTTTCTCCCCTTGTTCATGTCCCCTTATTCTCTGACGAGAACAGCTCCAATCTCAGCACACAAAAGTCCCTCCTGATCTCTCATCATTCATGTTACCAGTCTCTGAACCACTTCTAGTTCTGCAGCATCCTTTTGGAGATGGGTGACCCGTACTGCATACGGTATTCCACATCAGGGTGTCCCTTTGATTTATATTTATAATTTTTTGTATTATCATCTACCCCGTTCTTTATGGATGCCAACATCTTGTTTGCTTTGTTGTCAGGTGCTGCATGCTCAGCAGAGGTCTGCGTTGGGCCATCTACAATGACACCCATGAGTGAGATGCTGGCCTCATTGAATTGAATGGGAAAATGTGCGTAGATTTCAGTGGGGTCAGCAGTTCACCCCTGCTTCTTCTCCTGAGCTGTTGCTGTTATATTAGCACCTAGGAAGATGGATGAGTAATCCCCAAATGTTCCTCCTCTGGACCCTGTTTGCATTTGTCACACTGCATTTGCCATTGGGTGGCTCGTTCCTCTCTGGTGGCTAGATCCCGCTGAAGATGGATTAACCTAAATCATTGGAAATTTGACTCCTTTACTCTTCAGTCCTGGTGCATAAAGTTGACTGTAGACAAGTTGTGCGAGAGCCAGTTTCTCTAGTAGCCCCTGGTGAGCCTTTGTCAAAAGCTTTTCAGCTCCCGACTCCCCTGCGTTGCACTTTTCTGGTCTGTATACGCATCGGCTTTGTGGCAGACCCAGTTTCTCTGGGTGATGCACCTTGAAGCGCTGACGCTCCTGTCGTTCAGGTATGCGCAGTCCCCTCCTCCTCTTATTGGAAACCTGCAACGAGAGAGAACGAAGCCATCGTCAGCCAGCTGACGTTACTGCCAGTGGGAGAATGCGTCTGACGCAGGGGCCCCCAAACTCTTTGCCAGCATGACCCCATGTTAATTAATTATTTCCTCCCAGTACCCCAGGCAGTGTGGAGAATGCCATTTTGTAGAGAAAAATAACGTCCTCCATGCATTGTGACCTCACAGGAACCGTACAGGCAAGGTAATGCCATGTAAAGCAAAATGGCACCTTCTTCACGCTAGGGACCACCGCCACCCCGTCTGCCGATGGTGCGACCTCATTTGGCGTTGCCACCCACAGTTTGGGAACCACTGATCTAACACCTCCAGCCTGGATCACTGTATCTCTCCCTAATGTGTGAGGGGGGCCAAATGAGCCCACATCTACTATTGCAGGTGTGTGGGCGGGGAAGGAGGTTCTAGCTAGAGCTAGTGAAGTTGTTTAGATGAAGAGTTTATTCACCAAAAAAATGCAATTTTGGGTTGACTGAAACTTTTCAACCCAAACTAATTTTTTCTTCAGGCTGGATTGACAAGGGCACTTGGGCGCCCGTCACAAAACTGGAGAAGGAGGTGGTGGTATATCTGATAGCCCAGTCATTAGAGCATTCATCTAGGATGAGGAAGACTCAGGTTCAAGTCCCTACTCCGAATCAGGCAGGGAGAGGATCTGATTTTGGATAAAGGAGACCCAGGTTGAGTGCCCTAACCAGGGGCTATGGAGTATGGGTTTGTGCATGATGTTTGTAAATTTCCTTTGCTTTTAATAAAAGTGGTTTAAAAATGCCTGAACAAAAAAAAAAATTCATTTGACCTGAAACTAAAAAAAAAAAACTTAGCTCTTTATTCACCCAGAAAACTGCTGCCCCTTTTGTACTGACGGTTGCTACCATGTAAATAACACAAACCGTGATGTCTGCTAGCTGTGCTGTAACTAACTGTGATGCCTTTTCCTTTCCCTTGAATCTCAGAGGAGCTGCTGTCTGCGTCCTCTTTTTGACATTGTCTCAGTCCAAGACACGGACGTCAAACATATGATCCCTGAGGCCAGACCTCACCCCTTTCCTCCAGCCTCCAAATCTCCAAAGGCATCGGGCCTGCAGCTCTCCAGGGACTGGAGCTTGAGTGGGAGTAGCTGAGGTGGGAGCTTATAATGGAGTTGGCCCAGACAAGTGTGACCCCAAAAAATCACAACTTACAATATTTTAATTTGGAAAAGCTGCTGTGGTGCCTCACGGGAGCTGTAGTTCAGGTGCCTCATGCTCCCCTTCTCTTCTATAAGCTAAGTTCACTGGTCAGACTACATCTCCCAGGATGCACCATGGTCTCACCACGGGTCAAGGGGAAGCAGTGCATTATGGGAGATGTAGTGCAGGTGCCTCATACTCTCATTCTTCTCTATAGGCCGAGCTCCATGTCCAAACTACATTTCCCATGGTGCCCCGATCTCTCTTGGCAAAGAGGAGGTAGTTCCTTGGCCATGCTGCACCAGGGGAGATGTTGTCCAGTTGGGGAGCCCCACTCATAAAGGGGAGATTGAGGATATGAGGAAACCAAACTACAACTCCCAGGAGGTACCAGAGCAGCATTTTGAGCTGAAATAGTTCAGTAGTTTCTTGCTTTGGGGGGGATTTTTTTTTTTAATCAAAAAAAAAATCATTTTTTTCCATGAAAAGACATTTTGTGAAAAGAAATGGTCCAAACCCCAATTTTCCACCATAAAACAGTTTCAATGAAAAGTTAGTTCTTGACAACCCTAGTGTTACCATCCCCCTAACAGCGCAGCACCCCCTGCTCTGCTGTGGCTCCAGGTGTCAGCAGTGGGAGTCAACCCCAAATCCCAGAGCGGATACAGATTTCCCTCACTCCCCGCCAGTATTTTGGGGTTCACCTGGTGAACGTTGGCTCCGTCTGGATTCAGCCCCACAGCCTAGTGTTCAGAACCTAAACAGACAGAAAAAGGACTCACGAGCTGTTGAAATCAGAGCCATTCACCCATTTCCAGGTCTCTCTCTCCTGCTCTCTCCAGAGGCCGATCCAGTGCTCGGAGACGCCTTTGTATCGCAGCATGAAATCCTGTAACACAGAAAAAGGAAAGAGTTTGATTCCACGTGCGCTGCTCACAGGGCTCCGGGCAGCACAGAGTCACGTTATACAGATATGTTCCTGAATTAGTTAAAACAGAGGCTGTAATTTAAACTACAGCTCCTGGGTTCCACTTTAGTGGCTTAACCTCAAGACCATCTCTTCAGCCCCGCTTCAGTCATGGCGCCCCGTACCAGGGCCGCCCGGGGGAGGACAAGTGGGGCAATTTGCCCCAGGCCCCGCAGGGGCCCCCACGAGAGTTTTTCGGGGGCCCTGGAGCGGGGTCCTTCACCCGCTCTGGGGGCCCCGGAAAACTCTCGCGGGGCCCGAGCCCCCAGAGCTTCTTCTGCTCCGGGTCTTCAGCGACAATCCCATGGCGGGGGCCCCCCGCCGCCGAAGACCCCAGGCCCCCTGAATCCTCTGGGCGGCCCTGCCTCGTACAACTGGTGCAGCGAACGTGGCAAGAAGCTGGGGACCCCAGAGGAATTCATCACACAACCCTGCCCCATTCTTTGGGCGCTGAATGAGGCAGGGGTCCCGTGGGAAAACGCAGCAGGGGAATCACATAACTAAAGATCGGATCATCACTGATCCACACCAAAAGGAAGGAGAAGGAAAACCAGAGTTAAAGCAGCACTTTGGAGCCTTGCCTTATTTCCAGTTAGAGCTGGGCCAATGTTTGGTGACTTATAAATTCACTGAAAAAGTCTGGGCTGGAGTTCCTTCCTAGGTGCTACCACGAGAGAAATAATAAAAGTGGATTTGCTGAAACTGTCAGGGGAAAACCTCCCCTTGAGAGAGTAAAGTTCAGACAACCCCGCACCCCCTCAAAAAAAAAAAAAACACAAAAGGAAAACCTGGGGGACAGTTATAACAACTGAAATATGGAAATACTTAGATCAGGGGTGCCCAAATTTTTCCTGTCAGGCCCCCACTTACCAGTAGTGAAATCTGTCTGCATTCCCCCCATTCCCTCCCCCCTCCCCCCCATTACTGCACAATTGGCTCAGCAGCGGAGCTTGGGCTGAAGATGGAGCTGGAGGAGGAGCCGGGGCTAGAGGCAGAGGTGGGCTGGGGAAGGATTGGAGCTGCGGTTGGGGCTGAAGCTGGCCTGGGGGCAGAGAGGGAATGAGGGCAGAACTGGGCTGAGGGCAGGGTGGAGCTGCGTCTGGGGCTGGAGGCGGGATGGAGCTAGGCTGGGGGTGGTCCAGGGGGTGGGGCTGCGGTCGGGGCCAGAACTGGGCTGGGGGTGGGGTTAGGGGGCGGTGGGGAGCTGGGGCTGGGGCTTCCTCCCCTGCATGGTAGCTGGCCTGGGCCGGCCATACGCCCCCTGCACATTCCTCCACACCTCCCTGGGGGTGGAACACCCCACAGTTTGGGGACCACTGGCTTAGGCAATTTTAACAATATGCATCATCCCGTGTGCCTACACTATTCCACACAAGGTCTTATCCCATTCCCCCCTTATAGCAGAGCATCTTCCACTCATGAGTTAAGTGATGTGATTAACACATTACATGTGATTCTTTCTCTCTCTCTCTCCCAAGGGGGAGAATCGTGTGTGTAGAAGAGCGGTTTGTTTTGGTAGGGTTTTGTCATTTGAAATGCACACACTATGTGTTTATGTGAAGGCGGCCATCTTGGCTGACGTACTGGGGACTTCAACCAGGAACCTCCATAACGAAAAGGCACAAGTCACACCAGCGGGAGCTAAAGATGGATCACTGATGATTCCCTGTTCTGTTCATTCCCTCTGGGGCACCTGGCACTGGCCACTGTCGGAAGACAGGATACTGGGCTAGATGGGCCATTGGTCTGACCCAGTATGGCTGCTCTTATGTTCCTATGTAAAGAAGCAACCCTCTCCTGTCAGGGGCTGTAAAGGCTCAGATCCTCAAGAAGAAGTGAGGTTTTTACCCACGAAAGCTTATGCCCAAATAAATCTGTTAGTCTTTAAGGTGCCACCGGACTCCTTGTTGTTTTTGTAGATACAGACTAACACGGCTACCCCCTGATACATGGAATCTGTGACCCCCTCACCAGTGGGTTACGTTGATACCCGAGAAGACAGCTCAAAGAAGTGCACGTCGCTCTCGGAGCAGAAGGTGGTGAGGTTCTGGACAGTCCTTGGTTCCTGGGGGAGACCATTCCCCAAACTAGGACCAGCCACCAAGGAAACTCCATCTCCCTCACTGAGAAGCTTTGCCATTAAATTGTGCCAGAGGAGAGGTGATGCCAACCATAGTCCTCATCCTAGAGCCTTAGGCTCTTTTAGACACCCTGGGCCTAGGCCACGGAGCGCCTGGAAGCCCTCGACCATAAATCCAGCATAGCCATCGCCCCCAGAATGGGTCTGTTTTGTTTCTCACCAGGTCCTGCTCGCTGTCAATCACAGCCAGGGAAGCACCGAGTACAGAGCAGTGTCTCTGGCTGTTGTTCCAGTTCTCTTCAGCCTCGGAGAAATAGTAGCATTTCCCTCGGTATCCGACCCAGCCGTCTGGGCACCAGGCCATGAATTGGGGCTGTGTTTTAAGTACCTGCACTGAAATTGAGAGCGCGACATAAGGGTAAGAGCCCATCCTTTCCCTCCCCCGCATGCAAATACCCACCAGATGGAAATGAGGAAAGGCTCCAAAGTGCAACCTTAACCCTGGTTTCCCTGCTCCTTCCTTTTTATGTGTATCAGTTATGATTAGAGCCCTATCAAATTCACAGTCCAATTTCCTACATGTCTTGACTTTCATGTTTTCAGGTATTTAAATCTTAAATGTCACAGCATTGTAACAAAACATGAAAATGTGTGTTTAAAAATGGCAAATTATAAACATGTAAAGAACTTAAGACTCAGCATTTCACAAACTGGGGGTCTTGACCCAAAAAGGGGCCGCAAGGCTATTGCAGGGAGGTTATGGTATTGCCACCCTCACTTCTGCGCTGCTTTCGGAGCTGGGTGGCCGGAAAGCAGCGGCTGCTGGCCAGGTGCCTAGCTCTGAAGGCAGCGCTGCTGTCAGCAGCAGCACAGAAGTAAGGGTGGCAATACCGTGACTCCTCTACAATAGCCTTGCAACCCCCTTTTGCGTTGGGACCCCCAGTTTGAGAAACGCTGTGTACTTCTGTATACTTTTACCATATAGCATAGGGTACTTTTATAGCATAGGGTAAAAGTACACAAAAGACCAGATTTCACAGTCCGTGACACGTTTTTCACAACGGTGAATTTGTCAGGGCCTAGTTATGATATCTTTATGTGGTCACCTGTTATGTTATGTTAGAAGGTCTCTTTCTATAAGTCTATAATATAGAACTAAACTATTGTTGTATGTAAAGTAAATAAGGTTTTTAAAATGTTTAAGAAACTTCATTTAAAATTAAATTAAAATGCAGAGCCCCCCGGACCGATGGGCAGGACCCAGGCAGTGTGAGTGCCACTGAAAATCAGCTCACGTGCCGCCTTTGGCATGCGTGCCATAGGTTGCCTACCCCTGGTTTAGACTGTTGAGCGTTGGTCTATGCTTAAGAGATAGGTTGACAAAAAAACCACACCCCTGAGTGACACAGCCACACCGACATAACCTCCAGTGTAGACGCAGCTACGCTGACGGAAGAAGGCTGGTGTTGACGTAGGTACTATTGCGCGGGGAGGTGGTGTTCCAACACCGATGGGAAAAATAATCTTTCGGTCAGTGTAGGCTGGGTCTATACCAGCGGTTCTCAACCATGGGCTGCTTGCGGCCCAATCAGCACACAGCTGCAGCCCATGTGACATCCTCAGGGCCATAGGGTAATATAGATATTGTGTGGATGCGGCCCATATAACACATAGAGAGCTGCATATGCAACCCAGTGGTAAATCGGTTGAGAACCACTGGTCTATGCTTTGATGTTATGCCAACGTAACTACAGCGACTTAGCCAGGCCAGTATAGACTCTGTAGAGTGGACATCCCGAGACTGTGAGCTCTTAAGAGGAGAAATTCTTTTCATGTTTGTATTATCTCAGTTACAGAAGATTATCTGGTTTGTTACAATGACACATACTTCCCCAGGGAGACAATTTAAAGGGCCAGTTTTGTCATCACAAACAAGGCTACAGAAGGCAGCAGGAGAGTGAGTCTGAAGAGGTGTTCCCGGCCCCCACGGCTGATGCCCGAGAGGAGAGAGCCAGTGAGTATGTCTACATTACAGTAGCACTGCGATGGTGCTGCTGCCGCCGGGCCACTGTAGTGCCGGAGCAAAGAAGCTTCCTACATCAACAGAAGGGTTTTCTCGCTGTCATTAATCCACCTCTCCGAGAGGCAGTGGCTAGGTCGACGGAAGGAAGGATCCTTCTGTCGATCCAGTTGGGTCTACACCACCGGGGGTTGGGTTGACCTAACTGTGGTGCTCCGGGCATGAAATTATTCACAGCCCTGAGCGACATAGACGCTGGGATTAGCCACTCACCTGTCAGAGCAAAAACAGCAACAATCAGAATGACAAGTACAACGCTCACTGCGACTGTACATGCAGCACGTTTCCTGAGCCTGCTGCTACGGCCATTACCTGAAAGAGAAAAAGCCCTTAATTTTCCTGAAACGGGGGTACCCAGAGTCAGTAGCTGCACCAGGGTCTTAGCTTCCATGGAATATTTTACTGAATGGCTGCTGTTATCTATCTATGTCCTAAGATTCCAGGATTGTCACTCCGTGTCACTCTGGAGCCTACCATGGGAAGCAATGGAAGTAGCTACAAGCTACTAGAGATTAATAAGACTGAGACTTTTCAGCTTGGAAAAGAGACGACTAAGGGGGGATATGATAGAGGTCTATAAAACCATGTCTGGTGCGGAGAAAGTAAATAAGGAAGTGTTATTTACACCTTCTCACAACACAAGAACCAGGGGTCACCCAATGAAATTAATAAGCTGCAGGTTTAAAGCAAACAAAAGAAGTATTTCTTCACACAATTCATAATCAACCTGTGGAACTCCTTGCCAGAGGATGTTGTGAAGGCCAAGATTATAACAGGGTTCAAAAAGGAACGAGATAAATTCATGGAGGATAGGTCCATCAATGGCTATTAGCCAGGATGGGCAGGGATAGTGTCCCTAGCCTGTTTGCCAGAAGCTGGGAATGGGTGACAGGTGATGGATCACTTGATGATTCCCTGTTCTGTTCATTCCCTCTGGGGCACCTGGCATTGGCCACTGTCAGAAGACAGGACACTGGGCTAGATGGACCTTTGGTCTGACCCAGTATGACCGTTCTTATATTCTTAAGCATGGCTGAGAGCAATTTTTGTTCGCAATATCACCAGGTTCATTCATCACTAAGATCCACAGCCTGTTACCGCCTAATTTTTACGTTCTCAGCCATTTAGACTTTACAGCTTGCATGCGGGTGATGTACAGCTACAATAAGGGATATGTTTATGCCATGCCAAGAGCGTAGACCATTGTGATATCAGAGGTAACTCAACCAATAACCAGCCTTACTTTATACCCAATTTGCATGCAATGATTTCATTGGTCGCATGAGGGATGACTGCACAGAGGATGGCTTACTCACATCTGTGGCTTACTTACAAGATGAAAGGGGCTGTTTAATTCCACTCATTGCTCCTTCCTGGACTCTCCCAGAGCTGGTATGCAGAATGTCCCAAGGGCGGCTGGCTCTCGGTTAGAAGGGATGGGAACTTGGGACTCACCCTCACTTGGCAATCTGTGCACCCTGCCCAGCCTGTGCCCTCCCATAGACATTTAGCCTGCTTGCCTAGTTGCGCCCAGCTCCTTATAAGAGGCTGGATTGTGCCAGGGACAGTAATGCATTTCTTTCTTCACACAAGAACCCATTTTGAGCTGACCAACTGATGTCAATTCCGTTGCGGGATAGCTTCTGAGGTTTAGAAATTAGTTCTCACTGTGGTTTGAACCAAACCAAAATCTTTCGGAAGTGCCTCTCTCTGTGTACGTTCACACTGGAAAAGGTGTGTTCTTAACTCGGGATTAGCTAACTTGGGTTAGAACAGCAGCAAAATCCTTTAAAGCAACTGGGGTTTGCCCCTCAAATTCAACCCCAGGCTCCATTTCAGGCTTTAATGCTAGCCCGAGTTGCTGTATTTTTGCTGCTATTTTCACCCAGGTTAGCCAATGCGTGTTACCCACCTGAGTTAAGAATGCACCTTTTCCCGCAGTGTAGAAATATGCTCCCCTCTCTCTCTGCAGAAGCAACCAGAGAGCTGTGGACAGGGGCGACTTTTTCAAATGGGGGGGGGTTGCCCCCCCCCCCACGTGTCGCCTCTGGCTGTGGACCTCAGAAACCTTTCCATCAAAATTAACACATCTCTGCAAAACATTTTAGCCAAAATGAAGCTGCATATTTTGATAGAAAATGTTCCTACCCGCTTTACTGATTTCCTCTGAAGGATTTTTTGAATCTTTGCTCATGGATGATCTCAGATATGGAGAGAATGAACCCAGGCAACCTCTGTGGGAGAGGAGCCTCTGTTTCAGCCCCCAACATAAAAAAATCTCCTGCCCTATCTAGGTAAGGTCTTATCTGGCCCCATCTCCACAATATGTGAACACCTCACAGCCTGTTAATGAATTTACCCGCACAGCAGCCTTGTGAGAGAGGGAATTACTGTTCTGACCATGGTACAGATGGGAAACTGAGGCAGAGAGAGGCTAACACTTGCCCAAGATCACACAGGGACTCAATCCCAGGTCTTCCAACGCCTGGCCTAGCCCCCAAACCACTAGGCCACCCTTCCCTCAGCAGTCAGCGCCGGGGTGAATGGGAAAACTCCTGCCCCCAATCAATGTGAATCACAACCACAAACAGTCAGGTGCGTGCACTGAGCTGGGGGAGCTGCAGTCCCGGCCCAGCAGCTGTGCAGGATGCTGGGGGTTCACACGGGGCGGGTTCGTAACACGCCGTGGGAGCGAGAAACACGCGGCAGGAACGTCTGTTTCCACACACACGTGCAGAGAAAAACTGGCCCCAAACAACAGCCGGGAAAAGGAACATGAGGTGGAGAAGGGACAGAGACGGGGCAGATCTTCAAATGGGGGTGTAATATGAGGCCCTCCCCCAGGATACATCTGCCCCACCACTACGCACACCCCCAGTCAGGATCCCAGCTGGTTGTTCCGGCCTGGAGAAGCCCATTGGGGTGGGTGCACATGTGAACCCTCAACAATAGAAGGAAGGGGACAAGGAAGGCAGGAGAACAAAAGGAGACAAGGGGCTATTGCCAAGCCCCCTCCCCCCTGACATGGGCTTGATCCCAGATACATGCACCGGATACAGCAGCTGCGAGTGCAAACCGGCTGCCCTGCTCATAACTGTGATCAGGTCCCTGCTGCTCCACCAAAGGGCCTGGCCATTTACAGCCAACGCTGAAAATTCAGCCCCACCTGTGCAAGCCGCAGCCTCTCTGTCTCCAGCCAGGGATGCTCCAAGGAGCCGGTTCCCCTTCGCTGCCTTCAAAGTCCCAGGCTGTCCAAGTGTCCCAGCCCTCAGACTGTGCTACAGCCTCCTACACCAACATCAACACGGGGACACTTACGCCTCCGAGATGCTATAAATACTGAGCCACAAGCGAGCGACTACGCCAGCGCTCCTGCAGGGCTTGGGCATGAGTGTCTCCCCCGCAGATCGCATGACATCCTATGATCGCTTTGCGCCCCAGTCACGCTGCTCAGCAGTTTGCAGTCTGCATCGCTCACAGGTTCAAAGGCCACCCAGCCGTCTGGCAGGGGAAGACTTAACCCCAAAAGGAAGCAGCCGGCATCCACGCTGTGCAGAGTCTCCGTAAGGTGAACGCTGACTGCCCCCATTTTCCATGCATGACAGCGGGTTTACTATACACTACGATGCTACTATTCTTATCACATCCCCTTCCTGACGGCTCACGGTCTAAATCCCCCTCCATTGAGCACTGCAGGCCCCCTGCTTCCCTCATAGTCACAGCCCACTCCCCACCACTGCTGCTTCCTCCCACCGCCCCGCCCCCATTGCTGGCCCCTTCCTTCCCATACACCCTCTCTAGCTATGGGCTTCCTGTCTCACCCCGCTACTGCCTCCCCTCCCTTCCCCACTGCTGCTGCTTTCTGCCCTCCCCCCCCCCCATCTCTCCCACCCACAGCTGACCCCTTCCCTTCCTAATCACTCCTCATCCCCTGGCTGCTGACCCCTTCCCCCACCTCCTGCTGCTGATTCACCCTCCTCCAGCCTCAGCCGGAACTTGGCGTGGAACGGGCCAGGTGACGTCTACACTGCAGTTGGCAGGTGTGACTGCAGCTCGGGTGGACGTGCCCAAGCCAGCCTGGATCTAGCGAGCACTGCTAAGATCTAGCAGCGAAGCAGTGTCAGTGCAGGGTTTGGTGTGAGCTAGGAAGGCAGGTACATACGTGGGGGGTCAGAGGGGCTCACACCGCCCAGGCTGAAAGCCGGGCCACTGCCCCGCTGCTATTTTTAGTGCCACTCACTAAATGAAAGCTAGCTCAGGTCTGCAAACACACGCCCCTGGCTGCAGTACAGACAGTCCCTTAAACAGAAGCTGGGGCATTTGCAGAGTCGGGAACTGGTCGACCCACAAACTTGCACCCACGTGGCTTTCAGTTCCCCCCTCGCGTTGTGTTGGCTCTCTGCCAAGTCTGGGTGGTGACAATCCTAGTTTAGATGTTAAGAGCAGTGACCTGTTTTGATCTAGCAAGTGAATCGCTTAAAAAAACCCAAACAAAAAAAACCCAAACCCTGATTAAGGTCAATCAAAATAGGGCACTTACAGTACATTTGCAATCAGTGGGCCGGTAATAAATTCCCCTCCTCTCGCCAAAATTACTATTCAAATCATTCAAGTTAATTTTAGTTGGCAACTGTCACGAGTTAGAAACTTTTAAAAAACATTTAAAAACCCCAGATCCCAACTTGACAGTTTTGGCTTCATCTACTAGACGGTCACGTTCAGGGCACCGCTCTGCTTGGCTGCCCCCCTGTAGATTCCCTTTCCAGCCCCTGCACCCTGCTTCCCCAGCCCTGCTAAGGTGCACCCGGATGTTTGCGCTGCTGGAGGGGTCAGCAGAGGACAGCATGGAATTGTGGGGGAGGCGGGGAGTGAAGCAGGAAAAAAGCGGTCAGAGAGAGGGAGGGAAATGGAGAAGGGATTATAGGGTGGGGCACAATGGAGGAAATCTAGCTCTCTGCCCCATCTGCAACCTGCTCCCTCCTGACGTCACGTCTCTGGGCACAGTTCCTCTGGGCCATGTCCACTGGCTTCCTGGACACCTTTGAGGAGTGGTGGGCACTGTCCTGGCTTCTTTTCCTCTGTGTCCCCCTCTGAATCCCTGATTTTGAACCTGTGATCCTCACTCCCCTGGGTTCAGTGGCACCTCCCCTTAGGCGGAGGGGGAGGGGCCTTTAAAAGTGGCGGACCAACATCCGCCCATCCCCAGTGCTCCACTAGGGGCAATCCGCTTAAGTCAGCTCACTGCCCTGGGATGCTGGGGGCCTGGGTTCTGTTCTCAACTCCGCCTCTGCCTGACTTTGGGCAAGTCACGT